CCTTGCGCAAATGTTTACCACATAAAAATTGTGTGTGATAGCTTTTGCCACACAGTTTGTTCTACGCACCGTGTGTGATGCATTCAATAACGCAAACGATAAAATTGTTAATATCGTGTGCAATGGAAACGCTATCACAAATGATTTAACGGGGAAAATTGTGTGTGATCTACTTGTGAACGGAAACGTTTTCCTTGGAGCGACTGTGTGGGATGTACATACGAACAGAAACGTTTAGCGGGGACTGATTGTGTGGAATGTACTTGCGACCAGAAACAATTTCGCCTGTATAATTGTTTTTTTAGCTCTACTATACGTATTATCGTATTTGAGCGCTCACCGGTCGCACACGACCTTATTTTGCCGAGCGTGTGTGCCAGGAGGGCATATCCCCGACGGTTTCTGGGTCATGTGGGAAGGACCCCCTATCGCCGTCACTCACTAGGCGACGGTTCCAAATACAGTCATGGAAAGGGGTTAAAACTGTTTCTATAGCACTTACGCATACCAGTGATGGTCTGGCTCCATAATGAGCAGTCTATCGGCGCCCCAATGGAGCTTAGCAATTTCACAAGCACTTAGGTCGCACTGCTGCAAGGACTTAATATTGGGCTTGGCCACCTTCTCTAAGCTGTGGTTGAGGAGGTAGTGCTTCCTGTTGAGGGCGGGTTCTACCTTGTCATAGGAGCCAAACAAGGAGATTCAGGCGGGTTGGAGAAAGATGGCCGGGAGGAGGGCAACGAGGTGGGAGATCTAGGGAGTGGAGTGGTCGATGTCCTGGAGTTGCGCGACGCACGGGGGGGGGGGCTAGGGGTTTGTCCATGCTGGAGTAGAAGAACTGCGGATCCATGGCAACCGCCACCGCAATGTCGGATTCAGCGAGGCCCGCGTCAGCGAGTAATGTGTGGACGACGTTGGGCTTGGCGAGCAACTTCAGACATGAGAGGTATTTCGAAGCCTGGAGGACTCGAGCTGGCTCGAGACCGAAGGATGCTACGAGGTAGTCTGCGGGCATGAATTGGGCTGAGGGTGTGGAGGTAGCGACGGCGGTGGAGTGAAGACGGGTCCGGTGGAGGGAGGAATCGTGGAGGTGTGAGCCGGCGCGAAGAGTGAAGCAGAGGTGATTTTGGAGGCGGAGCATCGCCGTCGGCGCGCTGGCGTGAGCATGGTCTGGGACTCCTCTGCTCATTGACAGTTAGTAACTTTGATGCCACCGGATCATACTAACTAATTTCAGTTGTATTACAATGTCCGACTAATAAATGCCGTAGTTTTGAACTATGAATTGAATGGAGTACAAATTTAACGAATACTACAAATTTAGTGATTTCCCTTTGCTTCCCTCCTCCTTTTCTTCTTTATGCTGCAAGCCAGGGCTGGAACGACGAGCGGCGAGCCATTGTCGGGACTAGGAGCTGCGACCAGCGATTTGAGCTGCTGCAAGCGGGCATCATTTTGGCTGGAGCCGGTGGTGATAGATGTTGGAACTAGCACGAGAATTTCTACGACGGAGACATTTTTGGCTTGCAACCGAACACGGAGTTGGCTGGAACTGGCTACTTGGTGTGCTGGAAACGGCTGCACGCGAGCTGCAACCACGATGACGACCTCGACCATGGCCGGTTCTACGCGACAGTAGGAATGATAGAACCATGAGTTTGGGGAGCTGCAATCGAGCTGCTGTGACGATTGTGCATGGACGGTGAGAGCGAGCTATGACCAACGGCGATGGTGAACTCTGCCCTATGGTGAAGGTGATGACCTATGCAGGAGGGCGGTGGCCAAGGAGGACGACCGGGGCGGCGGGGGGATGGTTACCACGATGTGTGTGCGGGAAGGGAAGAAGGTGCACACGCGAGTCTGTTTGGGGAACGCACAATTAGATGGTTGGGTTGCACGAATCGAACGACCTGCTGATGACCGGCCGAAAACTAGTGCCGGTCTAGCAGCGCCCCATCAAAAACTAGCCGGAGTAACTTTAGGGCACAAAAATGCGATTTTTAGGGCACTCAAATAACGGTTGCCCTAAAAATAGGGCACTCATCCAAACTACTTATCACATTGCATACTTCAATACAAACTCATGAATATTCAAAGTTTTAAACTTGCAACGGTCTAAACATCTAAACATTCAAACTTAAACATAGTACTCCTCGGACACACTACGCACATACTACTCATTATCGTCGGTTGTGTATCGACATCGTTCCAAAGTGTCATGGTCTCCTCAGAGGTATTGAATTTCTCACCCTCACCATCGAGTTGAACCTCGTCATTACACTCGGCCTTAATCACCTTGGAGAGGCCAACCTCATCCTCCTTCATTCTCTCATTGCCTATCTTCCAGAACCATTCTGCCTCCGCCTGCACAAGGTGTGGATTTTCTGCGACCAACCTCGCCATCACCGCCTCATCGCTCTCACGGGTGTCTTGATGCTCCAGGATGATGTGGGCATCCCTCTCTCCGCATGGGATAGAATATTCACTGACATACTGATGAACTCCTCCGCCTCCTGGGATTCGATTTCTGGGAAGTTCATCTCGTTCCACGGCCCGAGCTTTCCAATAGCTGATGCCGAAGGCGCACACGCGGCGAGGTCTGCCGACTGGAAGGTGTCGACCCAATTGTGCTAGTCATTGCACTTCATCTCGACGCTGTAGCGGCCGGAGTCTCGCAACCGAACACCGTGGAAGCCGGTTTTCTCTTTGGTGTGTGTTCTAATGGCATCCTTAGAGGCGGCGAGCGATTGGAAGAGGGTGGACGACGGATCGGAAGGTGCCACGCAACGCGACGGTGGTAGCTGCTAGATTAGATCAACGGGGCAGTGTGGCACGACGGCGATTGAGGTGGCCGCCGATTGTAAATGGGGTGGTGCGGCAGCGGGCGGTGGCGGTGCGGCAATTGGAAGAAGGGCGGTGGATCTGGTGGGCGAGGTGGTGCGATGGTGACTAGATTCGATGGGGCAGCAACGTGGGATGAAAAACGGTTATGGGTGATAGTGCAGAAAACCTTCAGATCCCTCGGTAGGGGTCCAGGCATAGTTGGAAGTCTTGGATCGGAGGTCACACAGGGATTTTACGTAGGTTTGGATCTCCGAAGAGTAATACCCTACATCCTGCTTGCTTTTGTTATTCATGGTGAAAGGGATACCTCGTGCGAGGGATTACTATGGTGTATGAAGTTGCTACCGAGAGTTTATCTATCTGAGAATAGATGGGAATGAGATTCATCTAGCCTCCCCTTATATACAAGGTGGATGCTAGGATTTTACAGGAGGAGGGATGCGATCTAGGTCGCCGCCACCCTTGCTTGGGAGGCAAGATGGTCATCAGGCGGCTATCTTCTCGTTAGGGCTCGCTCTGTCGTTGGGCCTTGCGGACCCCTTGGCAGGCCTTTAGCCGGGCTCCCTACAGTGAGCCATCCCTGGTGTATGACACCGTCAATGGGGAAGGTTCTTGACATGCCAGTTGGGATGCGGGCGGCTCAATTTTGGGTTTGTGGCAGCCGCACGAGTGCCATATATTTGTAGTTGGCACTACCCTATTTTTGGATGTCCTAGAAATTTCTTGCAAGATTTACAATAAGGGTGATGTTAGAGTTACGTTTTTGGCCCCCAAAATGCCCTAAAAAGCGGTTATGCCCTAAAACAGGGTACCTGTTGAAGATGCTCTTAGGAGGCGTTTGATAGTCGACACGCCTTTTACGTTTTTCGGAAGGTTGTCAGGGTTAGGTCTGGCTAAGTGGATATAGATAAAACCATGTTGTGCAACTCGTTTAGTCTCCTGCATCCTCCCCAACGTGGCTGAGAAAAATTTGACACGTGACTATTTGGTAGCAAGCATTTCCTCCAAGATGTAGTGTGTTGTTGTTTGGTTATGTATGCACAGTCGATAAATCTCACGTTTTATTGAACTTACCTCACATGGGAATAGGGTGTTGAAGGAAGACGCCAAGGGCCAACTCAAGGTAGAAGAAGGTGTGACGATCCTTGAATGCTCATCCAACGATCATGAAATCAATTGGGTATGGATCATTTTTCAGGCGACTGACGCCCAATTGTGACACGTTTGTATAATCAATAAGGAGACATAGATTTACTTGTTTACGACCATCCAAACAGAAAACGTATAATATAAAAGTCGTGTGAAAGAGTGAGATGAAGCTAGAGGTCAAAGAAATTTCGACGGTCCACCATGTGTGAAGATTTTGCCAAAATTAATCGGTACATAACATACACACGTGAACGTGTTTATTAGTGAGACGTAGATCTACTCATCTACGATCATCGGAACAGATAATATACAACACGAAAAGCGTGTGAAACACCAAGATGAAACTAGTGGTCAAAGAAAATTTCACCTCATATGCTTGAGTTGAACTATGAGTCTTCGCCTGTGCTTGAGTTGCATTGCTCGAACCTGACTCGCTTGAAACGATCAATTCTATTGTTCCTTCAGAGCCAGACTCGGATGTGCTTCAATACTGTGCCATCCAGACTCAACAATATTTGCACACAAACCAAACTGCCCAAAGTGGCCCAAAGTCACCCAAAGTCGCATTCTCAAGGCTGGTTGGACAATCTATAGGCTACCAAATGCCTACTTTGGGGAGAGAGGGACGATGACGACGGCGCATTTTCGATCCGCTCCGGTGTATGTAGTAATCGTCAAGTGGTCTATGAATTTATTTGTATTTTTTTGTTATTCTAGAGATCTTTGTACTCTTATCGAAAAATAATATTAGTAATAGACCGGAGGATTTTTTTTCTGAAAAAAACATATTGGAAAAACATCTTTTGTTATCCCAGTTGAAGGCCAGCGCCCACGACGATCGTGGCGACGAAGGGCGCAGCGGAAGCGTGCTACGTACACCTTTCCTGTTTCGAGGCCGGGATCTGCCAATATAATTTCGTAATCGCCGACCGTTGCCTCTCCTCCCCCCTTCCCCGCTCCACCCTGCCCAGCCAACGGCTACCGTCTCCACGAGAGAAAAGGGGGAGATGGCGGCGGAGAGCCCTAGATCCGCGCCACGGCGGACACCGGCCGCCAAGAGCGGCGCGGGCCTGCTCAGCCCCCGGTTCCGCTCGGCGGCGGAGCTGGCCGGCTGGGACGAGGAGTCCATCCTCCTCGCTGCGCTCGTCGTCGAGGACACCCCGGTCCGCGAGTCCCGCCGCAAGAGGCGGCCCTCCGGCTCCTCCACCGCGGGCGGCAGCGCCGGATCTAACACCAGGTACCTATTTCCGCACCCCCACCAATCGCGCGACGCGGCCTTCCTCGCCTTTTCTCTTTCTTGTCTTGTCTTGGTTGGTTTCTGGATCCGTACGAATTATCGCTGTCCTGCAGGAAGCGGAGGTCGCGGAGGCAGTCGGCGGATGAGGCACCGATACCGCCCGTGGCGCTTGTGCTCGACGACGACGAGAAGCCGAATGACAATGAAGGTCGGTGTTGCCCCCTCGCGTTCTTCCTTACCCCGGTCCGTTGAGCGTTTCGGTTTGTGTCTGTTTGGGGAATTGTCGATCTGGCGTTAATTTGAAATCTTTGCAGTTGCCAAGAAGGAGGTGAAGCAGGCGGAGGAGGAGAAGGAGAAGGTTTCTGTCGTGGAGGGAAAGGAGAAGTCCGGATCTACCAAGGAAGGAGAAGCAGCGGCGACCGGCGAGCTGCCGTGCATGGATCGGCTAAGGGAGGAGCTATCTTGCGCTGTAAGGGCGTCTCGCAGATCGTTATCCTTGATTTCATCTCTTGAAATTGCATATGTGATTATCCCTGAGTAGAGTATCATTAGTGTTTGATTTTGCGCAGATTTGCTTGGATGTCTGCTTTCAGCCAAGTACCACGCCTTGTGGTCACAGGTAAATTTGCACACTACTGTCTACACATAGTTATTTGTTCGTTGGTTCACAACATTTGCAGCACAGAGCCAAGTTTTAACTTCCAGAAACTATGATATTGATTTGTTTCGTGAATTGTGTTCCCCTGTTTTTACTCCCGAGATTCAATGCGTGATGTGTATAAACCCCTTATTCATCACATGTACTATCAGGAATTAGGAGCTGTGTTTCTGGTTACTTTACGAGATTCAGTATGTTGTTAATCACTTGTGGCAATTGTACTTGGCAATGCTTATTTTTGATGCAGATGTGCAATGTAGCTAATTCATACTGTATTTATTTGTTTCGTGAAGTGTTGACTGTGACAAAGATATTAGCATCCCTGTTAACTTGGACAGCCATGAGTTTTGGTATATTGAACTGAGCAGCTGTGTTTACTTCACTTAGTGCTTTGCCAATCCATAAAATTCCCTACATAGAGTATTGGCCCTGTAATTCAGAGATCAAATACTAAATGCAATTCTTGACCCTCATAACACTGTTGCCCCTTTCTTTCACTGCCAGCTTTTGCATGCAATGCTTAAAACATGCCGCCTCTAAGTGTGGAAAGCGGTGCCCAAAATGCCGTCAGTTAATCAGGTAAGCTTCGATTTTCAAGATTTTGCACTACTCCAAATATGGTAGAAAAACAAACAGGGGTTCAACTAATTTTTTGTCATTCTGCAGTAATTCAAGATCTTGCACTATCAACACAGTACTTTGGAACACCATCCAACTCCTATTTCCTAGCGAAGTTGAGGCGAGGAAGAGCTCCATGGCCTCATCCTCAGCAAGCAAGGACGATGTGAAGCAAAGCCTGCCAAGAAGCAACAACTATACACAAGTTGGCATTAGGAACACCAGTGGCAGTAGCAGCTTCACCACACAGGACTACACTAGAATAGGCAACAGCACCAGGAGCTCCTTAGCAGCAGACGGCAGAAGAAGTATGCCGGTCCCAGGAACCATGAACACCAGCAGTGGGAGCTTTGACACACAGGGTAGGAGCACAAGAAGCAGAGACAGTGGCAGAGGCTTTGTCCGGGCGTCAGAGTTGGTTGGCACCAGGAGTTCAGCGCGGTCAGGCCAATCTGACGACGCTTCACTTGCATACAGGTTGCAGCAGGAGGAGTTCATGACGGCTTTCGATAATGATGGGGGAGAGAGGCAGCCACAGAACACCATATCTACTGCCCGAGCAAATTTGAGAGCTATGGCTTCCCGGGCCGAGAGGGCAGTTCTCCTTCGTGCTCGTGGCTGGCCTCTTTAGTTTTGACTGATTTTCAGTTTCCCAGTACCTGAATCTTTCTCTGGAAGAATGTAGCATAAGTACCATGGTGTGATCAATCACTTGTATTGTGTGAAAGTAAAACGATGACAAGCCAGCCATATGTGTTTCCTGTAATACACACAAATTTAGATTGCTTTACTAGATAATGGTCGTATAGCCCTGCATTTTCTCTAGCTGGATTAAGGAATTTCTCGATCCGGTAGTTAGATCAAAGAACTCTTTTACATTTTTGGAATTATAAAGGAAGCTATTTTTTTGGAAGTTTACCTTGTCTCCTACCCAACTCATTTTCCATCAGCCAAAGCCATGTAACAAATCAATTTTTTGGTACTCCTTACATCTGACTATATGTGTCCTGGGTCTCGGGGAAACTCCGTTTCACTGTATCTTATATTTAGAAACCTATTGTCATCAACAGAATCCCACTCTATACCAATGTTCAAAGCTACTGTATAAAGTTGTCATGTGCCATCTAATTGACGGACATTTCTCCAAGGAGTAAATTAAACATCTTTGATCTCTGTGTATGTTGTTATCTGTTCCGTAAATTGAACCAAAACTTCGAGAAATACAGAACGCCTTTGAACAAAGCATTTCAATCAAGCAACCAAGTTATTCAAAGAGAAACTGGATTTATATATGTTTGACTGATTCATACTTATCATATATCATAAAAGTAAAATATATAACAAAACATGTTATACAAACAATAACAAGCAGTGGCACACATATTTGGGATTAACTAATTGACTATCCAACACTCAAAATCCAGGTATTATCTGAAAGTAAAACAACGACAAGCTCCACAATTTCACGTCACGCCATATGTGTTTCCTGTAGTCCGGACAAATTTAGGCTGCTTTACTAGATGACGGTAATGGGTGTAATGGGTGTATTGCCCTGCATGCAAAATAAGGGAAAATCATGAAATATTAGCTTCATGCGCATCGATAAACCATGCACTAATTAAGGTACTAATACTTAAACATAAGCTATCCATTTTAACGGAAGATCAGAGGTACGCATCAAATGTTAACGTGTTGCACATCTGCCACAGAAATAATATGTGCTGAATTATGCTTGTAAATTTGTATGTAAAATTGCCATCATCATCATTCAGATAAATTTTCTCACCCTACTACTCCCTCAGTTACTAAATATTTGTCTTTCTAGATATTTCAAATAGACTACCACATACGGATGTATATAGACATATTTTAGAGTGTAAATTCACTCACTTTGCTCCATATGTAGTCACTTGTTGAAATCTTTAGAAAGACAAATATTTAGAAACAGAGGGAGTACTATCTAAGAATATCTTCTGAACTTGAGATATGCACTAATACATTATGGCAATTCTCAAAGAAGAATGCACCACATTCTGAAAGGGAGGGAGTATGGATTAAGCATTAGAAAATTTTCACTTACACGAGTTGGGACATAGAATGTGTGGATACCAAGTTGTTTGTAGCTCTCGTGGGCAGTGTTCCTAACTGTTCTGAACTTGATGACGCCACGCCCCATGGCGAACTCTCCTGTCCCGCCCATAATAGCCATCTCGCCTTCTGAATTCTGATAGATACTGACCCATCACTGCAAGCGTCGACCCACTGAACCTGTATATACATTTTAGGAGTAACGAGAAATGTTATGTATCACCTTGCCCTAAACATAGACTATCTTTATCATGTGGACAGTAGTTCTGTAAAATTTACAGTCCTCAAGTGCTGAATCACTAGTAGTATGATTATGATCGTACCTTGGATCTTCGAACACCATGGTGAAATAATTGAACCAGCCAGGACCCTCTATGTCCGCCTGCAATTGCATGCCTTTCGCGCGGGCGACAATAGTCGCACCGCGTTGAGGCGCGTCGGTGACCGTCCAATCGATGACGGCGGTCGTGCCGAACCAAGCCGGGTGGCCAGAACTTACGGTTACTACCTGGTTGTGGTCTGGCCCATCAATAACTTGGTGCAAGTACAAACGCAGGCTTATCTCACGCTCACAAGGAAGAATGGGGCACACAAATGAAGGGTCGGCCATGGCTAGGATGAAGATCGACGCAAACACAAGGGGCGCGGCGAGGGTCGGCCAGGCCATGCCTGGGGTTCAGGCTCTCAAAAGGCTGATCTACTCTTTCTTTGCGTGCCGTGTGAGAGATATGTGGAGATGATGTACTGTATTTATAGTGCTCAAGGGCTGGCATGGCATATGCATCCCAGATCCTTAGGGCACAAGTATAGGACCGATGTGGGAATCAAGCTCTCTACCTGATCTAGGTGCTTTCTCTAGAGCTTGGTGAGACTAGGGAGAGCGACGGAGAGAGAATGATTGGCCACATCAATCATTTTTATGCATGTGGCGATTTCCACAATGCATAGGACATGTCCCTTTCTTTCCCTTGGTTCGTTGGTGCCCTCTTTTACAGCATTTCCTAATACCCTTGCAAACCATTATGGAAGTTCGCCGTAATTTCCCTTTTGTTTTGCATGAATGGCCTTTTGAGGTTGGATATTATCAATCTTTCCAAGTGGTACAATTTACACATACTACAAATGTGAGCAAAATAAATTAGTACTAGATTATTCATTCAGAAAGCCTAGCCGGATTGCACTATCATTAGCGATAACGAAACAAACCGTAGTTCAAGTATTCTGAGGTCGTGTGGATAGGGCCTGCGTTGTGTGCCGTTTGCTACTGCTATTTTGGGCCTTCCCAAATCCCAATACAGAGCCTAGAGCCCGGGGTGGCCGCCCCTTCCACCCCGCTCAGGGTCGGGCCTGCGTCTACATAGCTTTTCTATCTAAGAGGTGAACGCGTGGCATATTTTGGCCGAGTGGACAGATCGAGCTGTAGTTGACCAGGAGGTGCCAGGTTCGGAACCCTTCATGATAAAAAAAATCATCACACGCGGAGTACCCAGCACTTTCCCGGCTCTGAAACACTTACAGGTGGGTCACCGCCAACGTATTTGAGGTCTTTTCTATGTGATTAAATAAAATATAAGGGGTTTTTGTAAAAAAAATCCTCACGCGCGGAGCACCCAGCACTTTCCCCGCTCTCAAACACTGTGGGTCACCGCCACGCTGGTATGCCACACGGGTTGGACGTACGTTCAGATACGGATGGAGGCATCTTATTTGCACGTCCTTACAAATTCAAGCACTAGTTTCGTGTATTTTCTAACTTTAGGCACCAAACTGACTACACAAGACAAGTTGAGGCGCCTTCGGTGTATTTAACTCAATAGAAGAATTATAGGATTGGAATGACATGCCCAATTGAATTCTATAGAATTAGCAATGAGTGTTTGCTTGCAAAAAGCAAGGAGTGTTTGATGCCACGGAAAAAACAAAGAAATTGCAAAAAAGAGGTTGGAGTGGGTATCACATTTCCTATGAAAAGTAGTACAAAAAATTCCATAGGAAAAGTTTAGGATCCAAACATATTAATCGAAGGACCAATATAGAAAAAAAATCTTAAGGATTTCAATTCTTCAGAAAGCTCATAGAATTCCTTTGAATCAAAGCAGCACTAAACAGGTAAACCACCTCCTAAAATTTAACTCCCGTTAGAGTTTTAATTACTAGTCCTTCCACCAAATTTATCTCCCTAAATCACAAAATTGCACACACTAGTCTTTTCAAACACGACTAAGATAAGTTTTTGAATAATTATAATAGTACTCCCTCCGTCCAAAAATACTTGTCATCAAAATGAATAAGTATTTTTAGTTCTAGATGTATTTTAGTTTTATATACATTCCTTTTTATCCATTTTGATGACAAATATTTCTGAACAGAGGGAGTACATAACATTACTACATTGGACTTAAAAATTACATGGTGTGGCTGAATCAGATTCACAAGTGGCGGTTCAGAAGTTACATGGTGAGTTGAAGGATCTCTCAGCGAGTGGCTCTGTGCTGAAGCAGGTGAAAGAACTTTTGCATGAGTTTCAGGAGTTTATGGTTAAGTGGGTGCGACCATAAAGCATGGCCCATAATCAAAGGGGACATAATGGCGGCCTTGATGAAGCTTTATGTTGGCGACTCGAGAGGCTTCGCTAAACTAAACAAGGCACACATTGTGCTGATCCCCAAGAGGGTTGATGCGGCGGAGGTGGGTGATTACAGACCATTAGTATCCCGCATAGCTTCTCCAAAATCTTCTCCAAGGTCTTGGCCAACTAGTCTCGCATAAGAATGCATGAAATGGTGGCTGCAAATCAATCCGCGTTCATCAGTGGTAGAAGTATACACGACAATTTCCTCCTCGTAAGGCAGGTGGCCAGGAAGATACATGCTCAGAAGCAAAGCGCGCTCTTCTTGAAGCTGGATATATCGCGGGCCTTCGACTCGCTCTCTTGGGCCTTCCTGTTTGAGATCCTAAGAGCCAAAGGCTTTGGCCCAGCCTGGATGTCCTGGGTGACGCCTTGCTATCCACGGCATCGACGAAAATCAATGTCAACGGTGTGCCAGGTCGCACCGTCTACCACGCCAAGGGGCTGAGACAAGGGGATCCTTCTTCCCCTCTTCTCTTCGTCATAGCAATGGACGCCCTCACATGCCTACTTCACAAAGCCACGGAGAATGGAGTGATCAACTCGTTCAAAGGCATATCGCCGATTCAGAGGCTTTCCATCTACGCCGACGACGTCGCGCTTTTCATAAGGCTGTCCACACAGGACCTGATCATGGTGCGTGAGATGCTCGCGGCCTTTGGTGAAGCTTCGGGATTGCGCATCAACTTCGGCAAGTCTGAGGCCATTCTCATCCGCGGGGACGAGCAAGACAATCGGAGAGTTGCTGACCTGATGCATTGTGCTATGGGCAGTTTCCCTTGCTGCTATCTAGGGATTGCTCTGGTGATTAAGAAGATGAAGAGAGTGGACTGGCAGCCCATGTTAGACCAGGTCAGGAAGATAGTTCCGACATGGTAGCGCGGACTTATTCAGAGATTGGGCAGGTTGATTCT